TCTCCTCGCCGCCGTCGGGCCCGACCGATCCGTGGGCGTGCGTCGTGCGTGCTTATTCCCGGCTTCTGGGGGGCTTAGGCTGCGCCGCTTGTTGATTTAGGATTCGGGGGGCGCTTTTTCTTTGTTTGTTTGGAGAACGCGTGTTAGGAGGCACTTGTGTGGATTATCTGAGAACCAGCAATCGGTAGTAGGATGCTAGGGTTGCCGTGCTCTCTCTCTTAGCAAGGTTATTATTGCATAACTGAAGTTCGTGCTCTCCGTCTTGGGCAGGAAAAATGGCCGAGCATCTCTTTGAGGACATCTTCCACGTGACCAGGATCGACCCGGATGGCAAGAAGTTCGACAGAGGTATTTGGCCCTGGCTGTTATGCATGGTGAATTTACAGTTGTACTGCGCAGTGCTTTGCTCTGCCCAAATCATGCTGATCATTTATGCCTGTCCATCTCTTGGAGTTAGTTTCTGTTAGCAGTTACATAGCAACATAATTTTTCACAGTTTAAGAAAAAGCGCTAGGCGTTAATTGTGGGTTTTGCCACCGCCTTGCGCTCTTCTGACCAAAGCACATGCTTATGCACAATTATGTGTAGATTAAGCGCTTGGCCTTTTGAGGTTTTTACTTTGGAATTCATGCCTGCCCAGTTCACAGTGCTCTGCAATGTTTGGATCCTGGACTGTTAACACTTAACGTCATAGCGACGCTTGTGCAACCTCGTAGCTGCAGATGATTATACTGAACTGAAACGTTTACCTTTCCACATCGGTGTGCAGTTAATCGCATTGAGGCTAGAAGTGAGCAGTTGGAGATGTACATGCAATTAGATATCGCTACCGATGTCTACCCAATGCATATGGGTGACAAGTTCACCATGGTTTTAGCTCCGACACTGAATCTGGATGGGACTCCAGACACTGGCTACTATACACAGGTAACATTACCTTATTCTTCTTAGAAGCTGATCATGAGATAATTTGGCAACTGAATGGCGTGAACGTGGCTCATTATGTGTGACAGTTGCCTAAAATGTTGTTATTGTCTTACATGGACTTGTCTTCATGGAGGACCCATGTTTAGGGGCTGATACTCAGGAAGCTCATGTTATTTCTTTCCTCCTTTCAGGCTGGTAGGAAAACACTTGCTGACAAGTATGACTATGTAATGCATGGAAAGCTTTACAAGATTTCAGAGGACAATTCCAGCAAGGATAAAGGACCTACTAAAGTGTATGACTTCTCTGAACTCTAGATTAGTGATTTTGTGTGGGTTTTTAATCTTCCAGGATTTGATTTATGTGATATGTTTGAGTAATATATGATTTAATGTGAGATCGATTTCTTACTTCCATATAGCCAATGAAGAATTTGCCTTATAACCGTGTTGCTGAAGCTCGTGAGTTTGAGAGTACATAATGATTCTCTTATTTTCCCTTCAGCTCCTTAATCCTGGCTTCTTAATGCATCTTCATATAATCCTGTGTGGGTGGGGGAGGGGTGTTGAGATTGCTTGATGCGCGTATTACTGAGTAACTTGGTGAATATACTCCAATATAAAGGCTGCTGTTTGAGATTGCTTCCTTTTGAGTGTTACTGAGTAACCTGATGTATACATGGTCAAAGATAATGGGTGGGTGGGGCAGTTCAAATTGCTATGTGAATGTTACCTAGTAACATGGTGTATATACATGGTCCAAGATAAGGGGTTGGTTTTGGGATTGCTTAATTTGAGTGTTACTGACTAGCCTGATGCTATATACACGGTCCAAGATGAGGCTCGGCTGCTTTCCCTCAAAATGAATGTTATCGCAAATGAGATAATGCCATGGGCTGTTCCCATGTGGAGATCTTTGGTGCAACTCATAGACTCATACAAAGAGCAAAGTTCCATCCGTTGAAGGGCTGATTGAAGGATTTGGTTTTACATATTTGATATTCCAAGTTTATAGTTTGTACTTACTAGAAATATTCTTAAATATTTGCAAAAGGAGCTCATTTTTCTTATGAAACAGATGAAGCAAAATTTATTGATAGGTGTGTTGACGGTCTTTTCTTCTTTTTGAACCATGTAAGCATGCTTGGCTAGTTGTATTATGTGAATCACACATTCACACCATGCAGTACAAGTGCAACTAAGAATGCCTATTTTTATATCTCAAACCGACCCACACCTTTTACACCTAGTGGCTACTTCTCAACCAAGTAATTTTACCAATTCACTCGTGCAACTGTTCTAATGATCTTACTCACTTTTTCCTCTCTCCAGGGAGATCTATGCATCTTTTGGTGGCCTCCTGATGTTGCTCAAAGGCGATCCTTCAAGTGCTGCTAACCTCGAGCTGGATCAAAGGCTGTTCCTCCTCATCCGAAAGGTGTAAGCGTGGCATCTACCGGATAACCAGTGCTTGTAGTTCACTCAGGGCTATACTGAGCCTGTGATCGTTTGGATGCTAATCGCCCTACACCCTTATGTACTCTTTTGGCGGTAATGTTACTCTAGATTGGTACCATGGCTTCTCTGTA